TGGATGGGTGGATGGATGTGTGGATGGATGACTGGATGGATGGATGGATGGATGGATGGATGGATGGATGGATGGATGGATGGATGGAAAATGAATAAAAAAAATACAATCAGCACATTAAAAAAAAAAAGAATTTTAAAATAATTTTCTCGGTTTTGGCATCAAGTAATTATTCTAAAGTGACAGAACCTGATTTAATTAGTTATATTTACTTACTGATTTAACAAAGATAACACTCTGGAGCAAGAATAAACCTCTAGAATCAGAAGGAGGACTTTTATTATGAATGTATCCAGATCATAAGAACCTTTTGAACAGGATTTGTGAGATTTGGATTTCAGTTTTAGGTTTAATACACACAAGAATTTGGTCAGTTCATGTTAATTTTGATAAGTATTTAATTTTGGAGATAATACAGTCATAATTCTGCTAGATTATCAGGATAATTTTAGAAAGGAACAGATTAGAAGTGAAACGTTTTATTTATGAACTTGCATCAGCTCAAGTGTCATAATCTGAACAGACGTTTCTTTTCTCATCACCATGAGCCAAGACTTGGATCAGGTGGATCTCAGGTCCAGACCAAGTGTCCAGCTGTCACTCCAACTGTCTGAGTGACTGCAGAGAGGTTGATCAGAACTTTGCAGCACCACGGAGAGCAGACAGGTAGAGAAGTCCACTGCTAGTCAGTGGACAGCATTTTGTCCAATGCCCGAGGTTGTGGTGATGAAACTGATGAAGTCAGGAGATGGAAGGTGATGTAACATCTATAAGAAATCACTTTTAGCTGGAACTGCAAAAGTTACCAGTGATTTAAGTTTAGCTTTCCTCCGATTTCTGCTGCTTGATGTTGCAAATAAATTCTAGACAAAATGTACACTTTCAAACTTAGGTTAAGCAATATACAATGAGCAAAGACAACAAAGAGCCCACTACTATAAAGTTTTTAATAATAAAGGTGTTTTCACACAATAGTCTTGTTAGTGCCTTTTATATACACTGATGTCATTTAAAGAGTTACCTACAACAGGTAAGATATTGTTTATAACATTTTCACAGAACCTTCAAAATATCTAATTTATCTCTTTAAATTATGAAAGTAAAATTCATATTCAAATTCCTGTTCATTTGTAGCTCAACAAAACCTTGCAATCTGTTTAGATTTATGTCATTGTATACTCTGATTTATTACAATTTTTAAAGCAAGTTCTCTGTATGTTAATGGACAAAATTAAGAGGCATGCTTTGTGACATGTAACATATGTTGAATATGTCTGATGTAGTAACGTTTTTACAGCTTGTGATGTGAGCGTTGAGATCTTTTTGATGTCTGTCTGAATAAACAGAAGCAAGTTGCAAACAGTTTCTGTAACTCACCTCCATTTGTATTTGTCATAAATTTCTGGTATGGTTTAGTGTGAGCTTTTTACAACAACAAGTTCACACCAACAAGCAGAGATGATGATGTGCATTAAAGGTGATTAATTACACTTTCAATGAAAAATGCTGAAAGCTTATCATACTTAATCTTAACTCCAGCTGTGCTGCCTGGTTGTACATTTATTTTTATTTAACTGATCATTTTAAGGTTAAATCAGCCATATTTACTCTATTGTAGGCAAAGTAAATGCACAGCATAATATAAGAAGAAGTACCTACTTGAAGTAATATATCACGGTGTTGTGTGCACAAAAATACAGAAACACAACAAATAATATAATCTGAAAAGTACTGTGTGGGTCCATCCAGTATTTAAACCTCATACTACTTTGTACAAAAAAAACTGTACAGGATTCAGATTTCTGCAGAATGGACAAACATTGCTTCATCCTGCTTTCCTACAGAACTTTTGTCATGGAATTAAACATTTTTCTCAATCACTCATCTGTACGGGAACAATTTGTTTAACCTGTCCTGAAGAGTGTGATCCAGTGAGATTTGCTGTCAGGGAGTCTTCAGAAACAGAATACTGTGTTTAAAACATTCTTAAAAAACTTTGTGAGGTGATCTGACCTCCTACACATCTCCATCCCCTCTCGCTCTTTAAGTGCTTCATATAGTCTGAAAAATACGGTACAGTAGATGTGATAGTATTTTTTTTAATGATTCGGGGTTTGTTTTTTTTTTTTTTTCATTTGTTTTGGAGAACATGCAATTTTTTTCACTCTGAGATTTCTATTGCTTATCACTATCCACCCAAGATGATTTTTAATTGGATTTAAACCAAAAATAATATTTATTTTAAAGGTTTAGAGTTTCAGACTGTCAGTCTTGCATAATTGTTCATGTGCTGCACTTTTAAAGACTAAATCACTGCAGTTTGTAAGTGTGTTCAAACAAAGGGCCTTCAGTGACTGTTCTTTAGTGAGAAGTGGAGAAAACACAATATGAGGACAGACAGAGATCTGCAGGCCTTATAAAGCTTGTGGGGAGTACCTAAATATAGTCAGACGTGACTCAAAGCTCAACCTCTCATTTATTGGGCAGAAAGTTGGTCGTTTTTCCACTTGGCAGTCTGTCTGCTGCTGCAACCAGTGATCTCTATGACAATACCACAGACAGGAAATACAGTATAAACTGTATGGAAGTTTTTTTCTTCCCTGCTGATTTCACACGTCATTTTGCTGCAATTTTGAGTCAGATTTTTACTGCATGTCTTTAGTATATTTACACAGTGCACTCCCATCTATCTAAACAGGCAATAGGTAACAATGAGGCCTGACCAATCATCGTTACAATGTTGTGAAAAAAATCTCTTCAGGTAGTTTTCACAGTTGACAAAGTCGTAAATCTTCCTTTTTCTTTCAGAACATTCTGCAGCTGTAAGAGGTATATGGTTTTGTTTAGACAGCACTTTGAA